GTGGAGTTGTAGGGTCGTACCGGCCCGCCGACAGCACCGAGGATGATGGCGTCGGCCGACTTTGCGGCTTCGAGGGCTTCATCCGTGAGAGGATTGTTGTGTGCATCTATCGAACACTAGAACTAGTAAGACAAGTCCCCTACGTCATAGCTTGAAACTTACTCCTCCAAAAAGGTGCTCTTTGAAGTTGAAGGTGTTGTCGGTATGTTTCTGAATGACTTTGAGGATCTTCATCGCCTCGGCGACGACCTGGATGTGTGCGTCAGTAGGCGCATTGGGAAAGTGCGAAGGCTGCTGCTACCTCTGGGCCGACACCGTCACCTGTATGGAATTAGCGCACAGCTGTACGGACTTCAAATTATGGCTTACCGGCAAGGACAACAATATTGTGGGCAGTCATGATGAGTTGAGTATGCTTGGAATCCAACAAAGGGGGTTGCGCGCTCTCGAGGATTTGCCAAAGATTCGTGAAGCTACCCCACGAAGTAGTATTCCTTGCCCCGCTATCGCAACCCCTCCGACGTCGGCCGCCTTGTGCCGAGCATCGCTCTACGACTGCCTATTATTTACAACGCCCTGACGCTTCACCAACATGGACAGTGAATGCTCTTTTCAGCCCGTTTGCGAGGGCTCCGATGTCGCAAGCGGTTTCGGTAATTGAGAAGTCACTCTGTAGTCGTGACTTTCCATGTGTAATACGAACAGCGCATGTACAGGACACCAAGGTAGAGGAGAAGAAGGGCATGGTCCCGATGCTTGTGACGTTTCCAGCGAGTGTGTGTATAACGATCATCACGTCTTAGTTCATTAAGAGTGCCAAGAGCTATTGATTTGCAGTGCGCTTGCCCCTATGGTTCTCCAGGTACAGCAGTACAAGGAAGCGTATGATAGGGGTCAACACTTGCCGCCACATCACTCCTTGTCACCACGAAGCACCAGCGCCAACCTTTGGAAGCCGCGTGTGACAGCCAGAAGCCGATCACGACGTGCCATGCAATCTTGGAAGAGGTTACTTTTGGACGCTGCAGGACTGGGAGATTAGAAGCTGATTGTTCGGGTAAGCGACACGTTGAACCGGGACAGTAAGGTTTAAACCATCATCCCATACCAGTTAGAACCAATGACTTCGTGGGGTAAAGGATGATGGAGAGGCCGCAGGCCGAACTGATGCGTCGTGGAGGCTCTGTGATGAACGCGGGATGGCGCTCCGTTCTAACCTTTCGTGCGCCAGCCTCCGCAGATCTCTCTCCCACACGCAAGCTCCAAGCCCCGATCTGGCTCCACGTTACACGCATCCTCACCTGTAGATCACAGCCAAGAGTCTTGGACATGAAGATCCTCTCTTGCGCCTCACATTCAGTGCGCGGTCCTCTATATAAGTCGTCGTAGCCCGCCGCTTTTTCGCGACAAGCCTCCGCGTTTCTGGGCGCCGCGCAACGACGTTGCGTAGCGGGACGCGCCAAGATAAGCGCACTATTGTGATGCAATCTCTGGCCGCTGGTTGTGCAATCTGTACTCGATCGGCAGCTTCGTGGTTGGGTTAGGTCAGAGTGTTGGAGATGCGTTTTGGACTGGCCGCGCTGGGCATGCGGCTTGGAACATCTCACTGCCCGCGTATCGCGGTTGGCGCCATACTAACCTGGGAACCCCGTGGGTGTCCCATGATGCCCCCAGGCTTACCTGTTTCCGTTCCACTGCCCGCCGGCTCACATATAATCCACACGAATCCCTTGCGCATGTGTTGGTTGCATCGTGTGGTCCACGGTCCTCACAAAGCCGGTACCGCTTACTGATTTGCGCGATTAAAATCACCGCTTTTTTTCAACAAACGTAGCGAACTACGGTTCGCGCTGCAAACACTGTGCAGCACAATCTCACCCGCATAAAACTACTCACCCGTCCCTCCTTCATGCCTTTGCAACTTCACACTCCTGTATACCTCGACTACAACCACGACCTCGAGCTCGTCCGGTAACGTACACCCAAGCCGTCCGCGGCGAGCGTTCCAGCCACCACTTCGAGACCCACTTCAAAGCCATTACACACTTCACCATGTTGTCCGTCCGCTCCAGTGTCGACAGCATCTACAGCCGGCTCAGCGGCGAGAAGCCCCTTCCCAAGCCAGCCTACCACTGCAACATGAACCCGGAAGAGCAGTCCCTCTGGGCCCTTATCGTAAGTGCCCCTCTAATCTGTGTCTTGATACAACGTCATACTAACGACTGTACAGGGAGAAGAAAAGTACGAATACACACGCGACAACAAGGGCAGGGTACACAGGCGTCGTCTTACCTACGTCCAACGCGCACAGAAGCAACGTCTCTTCTTTGAGTCGCGCGTGGGTCATGCCATTGTCGGCGATGAGTGGATGAGGATGAAGCTTCCTTCCCGAAAGTGCTAGACAAGCACAAGTGGCTGGCCGCTGCCAACACACGAAGGTCAACCACGTCGCGGAGGCAGTTGTGCCATGATTTCGGTTACTGGGTCTCAGTGTGGCTGGGGTGTATTCCTCATGCTACTATCTCTTTTGTAATGGGTTTGGGGGCGTCAGATCAGTGGCCATTTCGCATAGGATACCCGGCATATGCATTCAGCGTGGAGTTGTTACGTTGCTCAAATCAATACTTCTTTTGACTACAAGTTTGCCTTGATGATGATTGATAGTGAGATGATATCTTACCTCATGGGATGTAGGTCACGTGCTCCAAAGCTTTTGCGCCACAACGAGAGAATAGCCTGCTTAGGGACTCTAGCTAAGCAGCGGCAGTGCAAATAGCGATGGATGGTGATGGTCTGCTTGTGGTGTGAAGTGGTGTAGAGGCCGCCTAGCTGTCGGCCCAACGCCACTGGGCGTAGCTGGCAAGCCTCCGCTCATTGGCTGGTTCCGCAGCGGCCGCCGCTCAGCCTTCAGCTGCGGGCGGGCTGTGACCTCACTCTCTCCCAATTTCTTCCTCACCCAACACACGGAAAGCGAATTGCCATCCCATCGAGCCATAATGTTCTGGCCCTACCCATGAGGAAATCCGCCTTGAGACCTCACAGCACCAATCCCAAACCATGTCGGACGACGAGGATGCGTTAGTCATCGCGGCGGATGGCGACCTCATCCTCGATGTCGCCCAGGAAGAGGGCGGACAGCGCTTCTCGTATCGCGTAGACTCTAAGACCCTGCAGCAGAACTCGCGGTACTTTGAGAATCTGCTGAGTGACCGCTTCAACGAAGGGCAGCGGCTGACGGCCGCTTTGGAAGCACTTGCCATGAGTAGCTATAGCAAGATTGCAGATGCGCCTGCCCACGTGCTTCCTCACATAGCCATCGTCAACGTCGGCCGTGTGGCCGTTGCCAAAGCCTCTTCGATCCGCAACCTGGTTGCAGACTTCCTCCGCGCCATCCATGGCCTCGATCTTGCCGTCACGAACCCGCCCATAGCCAACCTCGCCAATCTCGCCGTCGTAGCCGACCGATTCGATGCTGTTGCGGGCTTGTCGAAGCATATGCAAAGGAAAAAATACCTGCAGCTCATCGATGCCAAGTCGAGAGGCAAGCCAGCCCCAACGCAAACGGAAGAAAGGATACGGCAGAAGCTCTTCGTCGGTCTCCTCTTCGATCATCCATCGTGGGTAACGCGGTATTCGAAGCATCTGATCATGCGCGACTCAGTCCAGTGGCGACCGGGGACAGAGGAGGACCACACAAAAGCCTTGTGGTGGGACATACCAAACGGCGTCGAAGACGAGCTGATACAGAGACGAGAGTACATACTGGAAACCATCAACTCTGTACAGGCTCACTTCCTCAAGCTGTACACGTCTGGCGAACGCCAATGCAAGCTCTGGTACGATACATCGCTACAATGCGACTCGTTTCAGCTAGGGGAGATGGTTCGCTTCTTCTCCAAGATCGATACTATACGATTGCAAGGCAAAATCTACGATAACACAGAGCCGACGTATTACCTTGGCGACATCGATCGACTCCTATCATCACTTCGCCAGTGTTCCAACTACCAGGTCGATAGCAATCACGGACATTGCGGACTGCGCGGACGCATACTCCCACTTCTTGACCTTATACAAAATCAGCTCAGCCTCGATACAGGTAGTCTAGATATTGGAATCTGCGCGGAATGTTGGAACAACCACCGCAGTGAGTATGCCTGGCAGCTAGCTAAGCGACCGGTCATGTGGGCTCACCTAAAGTCTTTAACGGGTAATCGGGCGCTTACCAATGCCGTCGCGCGTAAGAGTCATCAGAGGACACCGAGTAGTTGTCTCAGCAGGCATGTGGCGGTTAGGGATCTTTTCATGGCTGTGGAGCGCGATTGGACGGCGAGGGACGTGTATTAAGGATACAGTACATCATCAAGGCAGCTTTTGAGGCCTTTGGGCCTCATGCAGATATGGCCTCAAAACGCCTCGATCAAGTGTTTGATGCTAGGACTAAGTTTTTCTAGTAACACGCGGAATTCAGGAAGGAGGGAACGTTACCCGCGTTTGAGGCGCTGGATGAGGGACAGCCTGACCCGCTTTGTTAACCCGGTGCCTGCACCCTTGTGATGCATGTTCATTGAACTCCGTGCAGTGGTTCTTTTCCCATCCTCTACCCGTGGTTCGTTCTTTGAACAGTTAGATGGTTGCGAGCCGACCCTTGCAAGGTTTACTCGGCTATGCAAGAGTCACGTCGCGGTGTGGTTGGGTCTTAGCGTAGACTGTGGTGGCTATGCAATCAGCCTGAGCTTGTGCGCAGCACCATGACTTCTGGTTGCGGCTACCCGAAGTGTTCCTTCCATGCCTAATACATCGATGGTCAAGGCCGATAGTAAGGCACACACAAGGCGCATATAGACTTTTCGCATCGTGTTCGTTCTGAATAGTATATAGATTCACTGAACCATGGAACATCACTTCTATTTCACCAGGACACCGGTAATCTTCTCAAACTACCTTTCACCTGTCCTTACCGTTTGTTCCGACCCACTTTAACGTTGGCCACTGCTCCAATGTCTGTCTCACTTTCCACCGTTCAGTATTTCGACAACGCCAACTCTCTATCCTACGCTGTCACTCCCTGCATTCAACACTACCCATTATCATCAAAGTCCGGAAGTATGTTTGACAAATTGAAGAAGACCTTTTCGACCCGCAAGTCTTCCAAGTCGACAAATAGCTATAGCCCACGGGACACAGAAGGCGCTGGACAGATGCTTGGTAATGCGCCTACAGGTGCACCGGTGAACAAGAGGAACTCTGCATCCCGCGACAGTGGCCTTACACTGTTCTCATACCCCGGCCCGTTTGACTCGGCGTCGCCTGCTACACGAAGACCCAGTAAGCACTACCCCACATGATACATCCACTTTACGATTGCTCTTCCTGAAGCTGACCTTTTGCCAGACAGCTCAAGCATGAATCCCTTTAGTTCTAACCGCGATGCCCCGCCGGCGTATACACCAGGCCCAGCTCAGAATGCCCCCGCAGTACATCCAGCCCCGACTACCGATATCGAAGAAGACGATCCCTATGACTTCCTTCGAAGCTTCGATACAGTCTTTCTGATTGATGATTCTGGATCCATGGCCGGCCGCTCTTGGAAGGAGACTGGCAAGGCTCTTGAAGTGATTGCACCGATCTGCACCAAGCGTGATGCGGACGGAATCGACATCTACTTCCTTAACCACCCCGACTCTAGCATTTACAAAAACGTCACATCAGCGAGTACCGTCATCGAGATCTTTCAGACGGTGCGTCCCAGGGGTGCAACACCGACCGGTCAGCGCCTGAACAAGATCCTCAAGTCTTATCTCGAGCGATTCGTGCTCGACAAGAGTATCAAGCCCATGAACATCATCGTCATCACTGATGGTGTGCCATCCGACGATCTTGAAACTCCCATTATCAACGCCGCCAGGAAGCTCGACGAGAAAGACGCAGAAGCATACCAACTTGGCATCCAGTTCTTCCAGGTTGGAAAAGAGCCTGGTGCCAGGGAGCATCTCATGCAACTTGATGATGGCCTTATCAAAATAGCGCAGAGCCAGGGCTTGGGAGTTCCTCGGGACATTGTCGACACGGTGCCTTTCACTGGAGACGGGAACGCTGAGCTCACCGGCACAGGAATACTCAAGGCAACTATGGGAGCTATCAATCGCCGATGGGACTATACTTCTAAGGGAATACATCAAAAATAGCTGGGCGCGGCTAGTTCCTACAAAGGCGCAGTGTGCTTCACGGGTGGACCAGCCGATGGGGTCGTCATAATCCATCAATTTGATACGTTTGAAGATACGATTTCGGGCGTTGATTGGGCGGTCCTATCTGTATGCTTTGGGAGGTGGTGTCATCATGGGCGTTGGTGGTTCGATATCCTCATTTTACGGGTCGCTTCTGCATACGCACGATGATACCCCCTGGTCTGCATGGCTCTATATTGGATAAAGCGGTTGGGTGGATATTTGCATGCAGCTCTCCAAGTTCAGCTAGAGACTTCTTGGGTCGATGATAGCTGGTCATTTCTTGTCCCTTTTTCACTCTTCTCCATACGTTTACGACTGGTAACGACAGTAGTTTCACTCACTGGTTTCTGAGCAAATACACCTAGTAATTCTACAACAGAGCAAATTTCCAGAATACCCCTCTTTGTGAACGTCGTCCCACGAAGGAGGGGTAAATTCCGTGCGTGAGTGCCTGAAAGCCTGAAGTTTGCCTAAGGCTGCCTCACAAGGCAGACTCGCCTATATCTGCCCGTTGCAGCGGGAACCTCCCACAAGCAAACACGAACACCGGCCTTGCATATCAACGTGGGCGGATGCGGCTGGTAGTCGAAAGTAGTACATGCAGTGTTATGCAAAAAGCTCCAAACACCATGGAATACGCCCCTCCGGTCAAGTGGTTGCCTGTCTTGTTCGTCCAAGAATCGCCTCTTTTTTTTTGTGGATAGGAGTACTGGTATGCGCTTTACTGTCGCTGTTCATGCAAGGGATCACCGGGTAACCCAAATGGCGTCAATCCGACAGATCGTTTAGTTGAGGACAATTTGACTATCAGACGCCGTCCTCAGTGCCACTGCTGCGGGTACGCAATACAACGACCGAGCACACTCCAATCAAATCCCCGAATAGCGGCTTAGAGTCAAGCGAGGCATCGAGAGGTGTGGTTCTCATACAAACACCCAACCTTGGAAGGCAGCAAACATGGCCTCGCGGAAAGGGACAGCAGCCAGTTCACCATATCTTTACAATAAATACAGGATCACAAAATTCACCAAAAAATGCTTGGCGACATACCTGGAACTCAGAGAATCAGGGGTACCATGTGCTAACTTCAATACGATGCATGTGTTGATCGACTGATCGATGTTCTGTGCGGACTGCACGAGAAGATCTCGAAACTCGTGCTTCGTGAGCACGAGCATCGACGGAACATAATTATAGTCTAGAAATAGGTAGGCATTCGACTGCAATCCCAAAAGTCTGCACGATTTCGATCAGATCACTCAGTAGAACGGCCATCTTGCTACCCGTGTTGCAGTTAAAGATGATCTCTTGCGGCAAGAAGCCATGTGAGTCGATCATTGACCTTGAGCACGCCGTTCATTCGTACCAGCGAAGGGGCTATACTGAAATTCATAGCACAAAGACTGGTATACTTAGTTCGACGGTAGAGATAGACGTTCACCAGGCTGTACTGGCAAAGGCTACAGTACACTTCTCCCGGTCTAGCGTGCGTGCTCGCTAACGCACCAATAACACACCAATAGATCTATTGTTCTTCCAGGTTCTGGTGCAGTAATCGTCTATACAATTTTTCCAGTTCGAGTAATGCGGAGCTGCAGCATGACATACGTCGTCGCATGGGCAGAGATCTTGTTTGGTTATGGCTGGTGCAAGATTCAGTGATGTGGTGCAGGGATGGCGTAGGCGGGGATGCAGGCGACGATGACGTTTTGGCTTCCGGTAGCTTGGCCAACCCCCATTTACAACTTTCCTGGGCATGTCGACCCAGAAGGAGGGGACGAGCACCGACGCTGCCATCCCTTACTTCACCAACCTCGCCTGGTCCATCTACCGCATCAAAATTGCCCTGCTGACCTCGGGCACGTCGTCAGACATGGCCAAATCACAGGCGCTGCAGAGCAACCTGGACGTCGACTACGTGATCAGCTACCGCTTTGCAAAGACGGGTACGTTTGCGCCATTGCGGGGTCTCCAATTGATATACTGATCCGCGCGCAGACAAGACAAAGGCCACCGCACAGTTCGAGAAGCTTTGTGAGGCGCTCGCAAACGTCGGGCTGCAGACAGAGGTCCGCAATGGCGAGTCGCACTCAATCCTGCTCTTCGTGAGGGTCGCTTCCGACGAGCACCTGTTCGGCGAGGTATACAGGTCCAGGTATGCAAGCCTCTACTGCGTCTGGGAAGGACCGTGGCTAAACCGCAAGCAGAGTCCGCGACTGGATCCACGGTGTCCGAACTGCTGCCCCCGAAAAGGTTACGCGCGAATCGCTCGAAGCAGAGCCCCTCTACGAGGCCGAGAGGCTGCGTATAATATACCAGCTCATTACCAACCCTCCGTCCGAAGGCGGCGCTGGCATCACACCCAAGGAGGGAGAATGGGAGAATGTCGAATCCGTCTTTGCGCTGCACGACCACGCCTACAACAAGGACTGGATCAAGAAGTGGACCTCGCAGTACTTCCTGACTACCGAGGACTTGGATGATATCAGGAACCGTCTGGGAGAGAAGGCAAGTCTCCACAACATCGCCCCTGAGGCTATCAACTAACCTACTCAGATCGCCTTCTATTTCGCCTTCACACAGTCCTACTTTACCTTCCTCATCCCCGCTGCCGGCTTCGGCTTCTTCTCCTGGCTCTTCTTCGGCTCCTTCTCGCCCATCTACGGCCTTGCGAGCGCCCTCTGGTGCACCGTCTTCACCGAATACTGGAAACAACAGGAGGTGGACCTGAGCGTTCGCTGGGGCGTCAAGGGCGTCTCCAAGATCGATGTCAGGAAGAAGGACTTTGCACCTGAAAAGACCATCACCGACCCGGTCACTGGCGAGCAGGTTGGCTTCTTCCCGGCATCCAAGCGCTTCCAGAGGCAGTTGCTGCAGATTCCCTTCGCTATCATCGCGGCTTGTTCCCTCGGAGCTGTCATTGCGACCTGCTTTGGCATTGAGGTCTTCATCTCTGAGGTCTACAACGGGCCGCTCAAGAGCGTTCTCGTGAGCATCATTCCAGACCTACATCCCAGAATTCAACTAATTTCCGCCAGGTATTCATTCCAACTGGCATCCTCACAACCGTCAACCCTATTCTGAACACCCTCCTAACGCAAGCCGCTACACGCCTGACCCAATTCGAGAATTACGAGACCGCGGGTGCGTACGAAAAGGCATTGACCCAGAAGATCTTTGTCATGAACTTCATCATGTCGTACTTGGGAATCTTCCTGACTGCCTTCGTCTACGTACCCTTTGGCAAAGTCATTGTACCCTACCTTGACATTTTCAATGTTGCCGTGCGACCCTTCGCCGAAGATGAGAAGCAGCTGCACCTCAACTCGACAAGCTCCAGCTGGAGCATCAACCCCGACCGTCTTCGTAAGCAGGTCATATACTTCACAGTCACCGCTCAGGTCGTCAACCTTGGCATGGAGCTTATCGTTCCTTACCTCAAGCGTCGTGGTCTTGCTAAGTACAAGGAAATGCAGTCCGACAGGGCTACAAAGAACGGTGGTTCCACTCCAGCCGCTACCGAAAATGACCCAGCTGAGGACGCTGCCTTCCTTGATCGTGTCCGCAAGGAGGCTGAACTCGACGTCTACGATGTTACCGCCGACCTTCGTGAGATGGTTGTGCAATTTGGTTACCTTTCGCTCTTCTCCGTGGTTTGGCCTCTTACCGCTGTTTCCTTCCTCATCAACGACTGGATCGAGCTTCGTGCTGATGCCATGAAGATCTGCGTTGAGATGCGACGTCCGACCCCATGGCGTGCTGATACCATCGGCCCCTGGCTCGATTCCCTCTCCTTCCTCACCTGGATGGGCAGCCTCACTACATCCGCTCTCGTTTACATGTTCTGGAACGACCGCACTGGACCCAGCGGCAGTCCTTCCAACATTCAGCTATGGGCCCTCCTCCTAACTGTCTTCTTCTCCGAGCACCTCTTCATCTTCTTCCGCTGGGGCGTTCGCGAGGTATTGTCCAGACTCGACTCTCCTGGCCTACAGAAGGAACGCCGTGAACGCTTCCTGGTACGCAAGCAATACTTTGAGGAGAACCTCAGCCAGCTGCAGAACATGCCCAGGTTGAGTGAGAAGGGTGGCGAGATTACTAGAAAGAGTCTCGAAGAAGAAGCTAGGCAGGGCAGTCTCAGGGATAGTACTGCCGAGATCAGATTCTGGCAGCGCCAGAGGAGCTGGAGGGAGAGCGCGGCGGTTGCGAAGGACCTCATCAGCAGGGCGCAGAACGAGACCATCATGGAGACGAAGAAGGAGTTGTAGAGCATGGTAGCAGATGCAGTCATGTTGTAGGCTGTGATGAGCGTCTGATGGAGTAGGAGACGGTGGGTTTCCTATGTTATAACTCGAGCATTATTAGCCTGGCGCTATATGGAGTACTTCTGCCTTTGAAAGCGTCTGCTTTGATAGCCTATCAATCTTGCTGGCAACGATCTTGATCTTGTTATAATCCGCTATCCAGTTCTTCTAACCGTGCTCATATTCAAGCAGACCAGCTCTACTCGAGTGACACGACCATTGAGGCTGCTGAAGCTTATACATGATTTTGCTTCTGCTCGGATAAGCCAGTCTTTCTTCCTCGAGCGCATGCATAAAGCCTGCTACTCAATGAGAAAAGACGTCCCGTTGCTGGCGACATTTCTGAAGAGCGGACTGACGTAGAAAGCCGCAATGCGACGTCCTTGCATCAGACCAGGCTTCGGACTCGCCTCGCAGTAGCAGGGCTAGGTATGACTGTACGCATCAAGCGTATCGTTAGTATCATCTAGGTGCTCCTAAGAGCGAGCAGAAGAACAGCGAAAAAAAAAGAACGGATTTATCATGGGACATCTACAATACTAAGAAACAGAGGTTGTGAAAACGTATAGAGATTAGACATCTCGTGTCGCTCCCGATCAATTAGAACCGGACAGAAGACAACATCGGTGGCGGGGAGGACTCGTGTCGCCGCGTCGAGGTCTGGTGGGATCAACATGGTGGTGCGAGGCCTTTTCCGGTCGATGAGGCATCCATCCGGGTGTTGTACGTCTATAGCTGTCAAACGCCTATAGCGCCGTAGATTGCTGTGGGTATCGCGCAATGGTGGAAACAATCATGCCGCCCTAATCTGTCCGCATGGTGAGTGGACCTGCCGGAGCGTTCGTACTCGCCTAGCCATATCACCGCCTCATACCACACCTGCCTGGCATTTGAAACTATTGTGGGCCCGTCAAGCTGCAATTGTCGTTCCATTCCGCTGCGCCTGAATCATTTTCTTCGTGGCTTTTGCCCAGTGGTCAATCCATGTTTGGGCCTCATGATCTTCTTTTCAACGACTGTCCTGGTCCGATTCTGGCTGCAGAGGAGGTAGGTAAGTTCAGTGCAAAAGGAATGATGAAATCCCAAAGAAGCTAGTGGATAGGACAAAGCCTTCGTCCATGCTTCGCACAGAAAGGTCTCCGGTACCCGAATGAATCCAGCGTAGCGTCACTCACTTGAGGCTTCTCATGTGGGCTCGCTGCTTGGTGTATGTCTCGTAGTTGCCACCAAAAACGCATTCGAGAATGCTGGGTCCGATATTCTGTCCCGAGCGAGCGGCCTGCATACGATCGCTGAGGGTAAAGTACGCTTCTTTGAAAGCGTCAAAGGCAATCTGAACCTTGTGGGATCCACCGGAAATATTGTTCTCTGGGCGATTAGGATCCTGGATGGACAGGCCGTCATATTTTTCGGGGCGGCCATCGATACCATAGTTCGTCTGCTTTTGTTAGCTATGCAAACGAAAGTGGGAAAAGCAGCCGGAGGCCTCTGCTCGTTCCACAGCGACATGGGAAGACTTACCTTCTCAATGATAGCAGGAGGATGCATCTGGATGCGTTTGCGGGATAGATCAAAGTCACCATAGTACTTGAGGAATCCTAGGAAACATTCTCCGAGGTTGTCCGGTTTAGGGGAATGCTGAATGTAGCTGACGATCAAGCAAATGATACTGTACCCTCCAATCCCGCCAGTGTGGACTTCATTCAAGCCATGCATGGCGAGAAACTGCTTCATGAGTGCCACCATGTATATCATATCGGGGTACTGCTGCTTCCACTGTGCAAATGTCGCTTGTGCTTGCACTCCGCTCAAATTCTCGAACGAAATGTCAACTTGAAGCTTGGTGAGCTCGTCTTCGAACTTGATGATGGGAACGCGCGCAGGGATGACCAGTGCGTTGTTGTTGGCCGCCAACCTTGTGTCTTTAAGCCTTCTGGCTGCCTTGTAGAGCAGACTCTTGTTGGCCCCCCTCGCGGACATGTCGACAACGGGTTCTCCACCATTGTAGTGCCTATCCGAGACATATACCAGATCCATGTCGGCCGTGGGCAAGTAAAGACCCGCAGGGAAGGAGCCGAAACACAAGATGCGTCCGTTTTCTTGAGGGAACCTGCGTTGTCCCATAGCGCTGTTAACGCGGTTGACTAGCCGGTTACGTTGTTCGTGCTCGAAGGGCTTTGGTGCGACGAAGTCATAGAAGTCGAGTATCTCGTTATGAAGCCTGTAACAGTGTTAGTCCAATAATCGCGTTCCAGGGTAAGCTGGCTATCGCATAACTGCCACAGATGCAGTCGCAGGAATGAATAGAACTTACCATTTCTCAGGTTCGCTGGCGAGATGCGCATACGGGTCGCGTGAGGGAAGCCACGGCGTTGGATTGACGTTGGGAACGGGTAGCCATTCGTCCACAACACCACTCAGATTGGCTTTGCGTTTGTTGTTGTTTCTCGCAGGACGAGGTGCCCGATGTTCAGCTACAGCCGCCTGTTGCCGATCAACAATGCTGTCAATATGCGCGAACTCGCTCAAGGAGCCTTGAACAGCGTCGCGACTATCGTCCTCGTCACCAAACGAGATGAAATCGTCGTTGGCAACAACTGAATTGTGTCCAGCGGCCTTCTCGGCTTCCTGGTTCTTGGCCTTCCGGATCAGTTTGACAAAGTCGGTTCTCTTTCCCGTGGTCTCATCGGGAGGCGGCAAGGCGGTGTACGGGTCGGGATTGGACCATTTAGGAACAGAATCGCCATCAGCACGTTTGGTTTGCGTTCGGGCTGCCTTGGGCTCGCGAGCGTCGCCGTCGCCGTCGCCATCTTCATCGGCAGAATCCGCGCTCTCTACCTGCATATCTGCCTCTTCGTCGTCAGAAATATCATCTGGGTTGTGGAACCGGTTGGAGCCGTCGGCAACACCTAGAGCGCGTTCCGGACTACCGCCGTCGCGATGGGTCAGAAGGGCGCGCTCGTGTGGGGCAGCTTTCTTGAAACCACCCCTACGGTATCCGTTCGTGTTGTTCCTGCCGTCCGCGCGAGACGAGCCTCGCGAGGCCCCACCACGGCCGCGCCTTCTTGATGATGCAGAGCCGGAAGGACCCCGCGGCACATTGGAATCGCTAGCAGGCGGGAAGCGGGGAGCGGGGTGACTAGACTCGAAGGTGAACTGGGACTGATTGCCGTTGCGCGCACCGCCTGGTCGGTAGTTGTCGCCATCACCACCAGTGAACGTCATGCGGTCTGCAAGTGGTCGCGGGCGGTCGCGCGCAGGTCGCGACGGACGATATGAGTCTCCCATGGCGTGTCGCGTTTGTAGTGTAAGGAGGGTTTGTCGCGCGCAATTGATGAGTGGTTGTTGTGGGTAGGTGCTGATAGCGGTGTGTTGCGGAGGGATAAAGGTCTCAGGCGCGAAAGATTTGTCCAGCGACAATGCGAGTAAGCCAAGACCTTAGCGCGACCCAGTGAATTTGTGGGGTGCCCGCGACCGGGACCCCGTGTTCACTGCAACTTGAATTGGTCAGTGCTTGGAGCAATAGACGAAGTTAATGTTACTGAAGCTAACGCCCTCCGCTGTTGCAATGTTGGATGAGATGTACATCCAGTCAGGTCTGACACTTGCTCAAAGCTTGTGAAGCCACACGTCAGACGGTATGCGCACGATGAAGATATCCCACACCTAGGCACTCAGATAGGTTCTGATCTCTGACAGCTTTCTGCTGTGCCAGCTGCTGCGGCGAGGTGGTGATCGAAACCAACGTTTCCGAGGGGTATTCCTCAATTGATGGATATGACATCGTTACATGTGATAATACAGTATTGAACACTCGCGAAGAAATGTAAGAAACAGGAGAGTGGAGAGAGACCGAAGCATGCTTATGCCCATCCAACCACACTCTCGATGACGAAGCGCCATCGCTTACTGTGCCCATAGAACATAGAAGGCTCAAACGCTATGCCCAACGCCCAAAATGCAACAGGTTCTCCCTTCATCACTCCGTGTAGTTCGTCAGGAACATAGTCCAGTTTGTATGTCTCGCCCTCGAGGTCGAGTGACCGAGAAGAACCGCGGCTAAGTTAGATTGGTCCATGTAGAGCGACCTCAATCTTCTTTCGTAAACTTGGGCTTGACTAGAAGTAGGTGCGCCATGTCAGTATGTGTCTCACATGCGGTGCATGCATGGGTACTTACACCCTTCCCTTAATTCCTTTTCGCGCTCCGCCACCCGTTGATGTCCCTGCACCTCTCTCTCTATCCTCTCTCGTGCCCTCAATATTTTGCTTTGCAGATAGAAACTTCCGCCCTTCTTCGGATCGTTCAGATCGAACAGCCTCTTGAATCGCTCCGTGACAGCCTCTATTTCAATGTTTCCCATCTTTCCGGGGCCCACGTTCAGGATCTGGCAGGCTTCGTCCATGGTGATGTTCGAAGACGAGAAGGCGCCACCGCTGCCTCCACCACCTTGGCTGGCGGCTGCATATTTCTGCGACGCGGCGGCTTGACGATACGATTCGGAGACGGCGCGACCTATTATTCGAGCGCCGGAGAAGACGACTTGTGTTATTATGCGGTGGGCCTGTACGTGTTAGTTGCAGACGGTGTGACAGCGAGTAGGAACATGCCATTGTAAGAGATGCAGAGGTAAGGAGAGTCTGTGTAATCTGCTATTCCAGTCGAGTCCTATGCGAGAGCCACGCCGGTTTGTCTTGGGCGGATGGGTGCTGTTGGCAATGAGGGCATCTCCAAAAATTCTGGGTCGCCTTCCGCGCTCTCGGCCTGCCTCCGCACCTGGCACGTGATCTCAGCCAATCACAGCACGATCGCAAACTGCGATCATCGCAAGCATCTCTGCGCGCCTGACGATGGCTATGCTCGTGCAGTCCGGTGAAACTTGAGAATTACGGCGCTGCATCCCTTGCGCGCCCTTCATCCAGATTGCTTCTGGATATTGGCGCCGGGGAGGCACCATGAGGCTTCCGCAAGTCGCCCTCGGACTAAGACATTCACATGCTCAAAGATCCCCGCATCGCTCCCGGCGACAACGTCATGTGCGACTTTGCATGACAGATTCCAACATCTCTCGAGCTTCAGTTGTGCATCGCTGCAGGCTTCCTTCCTGTATAATCACTGAGCGTGGCTTGACAAGAGCGCGGCACTCAGCCTCCACTGCTCAGCCAGGCGATGACGCACAACCCCATGCATGGCAGCACTAGGTTGGTAACTTCCAAACTTGCAACCACATTCAAGTAAAACCGAGTTGCGCAAACAACATGCTTATGCCCACATAGACACACCCTGGATACAGCACATGTCCACCCCTTCAAGGTCCAGCAACGATGCGTCGTCCCCGCCGCCAACCGGTGATTCGAGTTCCAACCCGACGTATGCCAGCTTCTCTCCCGCCAACCTAGGCCAGACGACACCGCAAACAAAACTGCGCTCCGCCATACTCGTGCACCAAAAGTCGCCCCTACTTGCGGCTACACCACCACAGATCACTCGCGTGCTCGCTTATTCGCACCCCTTCATATTACCTCTGAACAAGTTTGCTGGGCTGGTGACATGGACGACCGGAGACCCATGGGAGAGCTTCCTCGTGGTCGCAAGCTTCTGGGCCGTCGTCATGTATGGTGATGCCGTGACGAGATACGCAGGGCCCATTATCGTCGTATCCGGGCTGATACTGGGCATGTACACGCGAAGGTATTCTCCACTATCGTCGACCGGGTGGACAGGCGAGAAGGGACAGAAGGCGCACAAGCGCGTTGAGTCGGACACCAACATCAAGCATCACAAGAGCCTGGAAGAGATTGTGGACAGTCTGAAGCTCTTCACTTCGCGCTGCAACATCCTACTAGATCCCTTCCTACGCCTCACAGACTTCTTATCTACACAGAGGACTGCGACCTCGGCTACTACACGTCCGGCGCTCACTGTATTGTTTATCCGAATCCTCTTCGTGTTGCCGCTATGGATAGCGCTTACGCTACCACCGTTCTACATCCTGACTACGAAGCGAGTGGTACTAGCGGTAGGCACTGTGATGCTGAGCTGGCATTCACGACCGGCCCGCGTAACCCGAACCCTCCTGTGGAGATCAAGAACAGTCCGGCGTACCTGCGCCTTCATAACTGGACTCGACTTTGGCGAAATTGTGTCAGTAGATAGGAAGGGTGCGCCTCCTCTGCCACCTCGAAAGAAGAGCACGCAGGAGGTTGCAGCTTCATTGGCGGCTAAGCGTCGGCCCGAATCTACAGGCGTACGCTTCACCTTCTCCATCTATGAGAACCAGCGAAGATGGCTAGGCATCGGATGGACATCCTCTATGCTTGCTTACGAGCGAGCGTCTTGGACGGATGAGCACCTAAACCCGGTTCCACCTAAAGAACAGTTCGAACTACCTGAAGTTGAAGGAGGTCAGTCGAGATGGCGGTGGGTGCAAGGAAGTGAATGGAAGGTTGAAGGCGCGGAGAAAGACAGCAAGGCTGACAAAGGCGCGTCCAAGGAGGACTCGGCGTGGATTTACTACGACAATAAAGTAAGTATAGTAACTTGGTACAATGTTCTGATACTAACTTCAACAGTGGAGGGACGGACGAAGAGGTCAAGATGGTTGGGGGCGTTATACCCGCCGTCGAAAATGGTACCGCGATGCCGAGCTCGTCGAATCGACCTCGTCGACAGATACAACGCCTATGCCTACGCCTAAACCTAGCCCAATCGATACTTCCGGAGACCTTGATCCTAATCAACTCACAAAGCTCTCATCTAATCTCAGTGTAGCATCCAGTACAGACCCTACTCTAGTCGAGGGTGATGGACGTGAGTATGCCGCATCGATAGCGTCGGATACAGATGCAGCAAGTACAAAGAGCAAACGGAGTTGGTTCAAGAAGAGACGGAGCAAGAGCACAAGCGGTAGTGTGAGTGGCGTAACAGTCGTCAGCGATACAGGTACGAGCGGTACGCGTAGAAGTGACGAGGACGATATGCAAAGTCCTCTCGATCGTATGGCGAAGGATGAGGAGTGGAGGCTTGGTGACGACATCCGTCAACATCTTGATATCTGAAGTAGTCGGAGCGCTTGATGATTACCTTGACTTGTTGTATGAACATAGTTTTCACACTCCTCTCTGATGCGAGCTTATTCGACTCTTGTCAAGTGATGTACTAAATACTGATTAAAGCGATACATGTGCTAGCCAAAAGCATGATAGAGAAGGTCATAGTCGACAGATTGCTGGAGTGTTCCCCTTTTATCGCATAGCCTGCCTCTCGTGTGTTGTTGTGGTGCGTCAATATCGATGCTTCATCTGCAGTAGGTAAGTCAAGAAATCAAGCAGATCCATTAACATGTTCACAGCACGGAGAGAGACATGGCTTTCAAGTGAGTGTCCTTATTCCATGATCATATCTCATCTAATATTGCCCAGCAGTCGTGACCCTTGGTATTGGCAGTTCACCCCGATTTCCAACAGTGTTCATTGTTCCATCTCCGAATCGCTCGATGGAAGTGTTGTTGGAAGAGTTCCGAGGCTCAGGGTAGCTTGACGCTTAGTGCTATTCGGGTTGTTAGTGCCATTCCAGACGGTAAGGAAGACACCGCGTCGGTATATCTCGAGATGTACTTACGGAGCAGGATCCGCATCCGCAGCTGGAGCAGTCACCAGCGCACTTGCAGGAGGAGCAGTTGCTGTTCGTTTGTTAGCCAGAGCCCCTCCATGTTCCCAGTAGAGTGTCCATCACGGTGCTGGCGCTAGCCTTGAAGCAGCAGCACACCACCGTGTGTCAAACACCAAAGTCGGTCGCAAGACGTACCAGGGAGCCATTTTGATTGGTTGGTTGGGTTGTTGGATTGTTTGGTTGGTTGGATTGTAGAAGTGTTGGAGCGTGATGAGCCATCAAGGTGCTGAGGGCAGACAGTTATATAGAGCACCTGGCCGCCAGCCCGCGACTTGGTAACGACTCCCTACCCACGCCGCGGTGGAGACCCTGTCACTCGAAATGGTCATGCGTGAGGCGGTGGGGTCCGATGGAGAGTGACATATCGACCTGCTAACCGCCCCATCAGAGCCACCGTCCTTCGAATTCCCGCGGTTAAGCGTACGCCACGCTCGTCTCCCACCATACACAACAGACAACTTGGAGGGGAAGACCATCTGGTTGGTCAAGGAACACCGGTGAATGGCTGGATAGCTCACCCACTGGGTGTGCTAGGTGCTGAGATGTACCGCTCTAGGCTGCCTCCCGCATATATGCCGCAGTTACCGGTATACTCAACCGGGCCGGTTGCAGAGGAGCCTTCGTCAGCCGTCAAGCTGATACGAGCATCTCTCGATGGTATTGGCTATGGAGTCACTTGCCGCTGCAACCGTATCAGTGCATCGGGCTCCACGGCACCTTCGCTCTGCTCGAAGCTGTAGCCTGACCACTGACGAAGAGGACGCCTCGGCCTTGACTTCCTCACCGTATTCTAGCGCTTAAGTTGACGCACTGCACGTGTGAGACATCATGCAGATCGCTTGTACCTAGGTACGACCCGTTGCTCTGGAGCCTTGAGAGCCATGGGACGGCACGGGCACAGCACCACCAACGTGGGATGATGTTGGTGACCCCTAATCCGGTGCTTACGTCTCAAACGACCACTGGCTGCATCAGAATCGAGTGGTGGCACTGCATACGCATTCCCCGCTTCTGGGCACCATCTGATTGCGGACTTGGCAGTTCGCAGCATGTTGATGTGAATCGTAGCACGGTGCATACAACTCGAATAGCGAGTTCCTAACTGTGTTCTGTTTCAGTGGGATCTTTGCTGTCAACTGGATGCATGTGAATGTGCCTGGAAGAACGCGCCACCGAAGTCAAGAATCTAGATCTACACCAAGTTCAAGCGCGTGATCTGATGATGCATCGCTGGGTAGCGTTCAATGTAGTATGGCCGAGAAGCCAATCGCGACGGTCCGTCAGTGGAGCTATGATGCAGCTAGTGGGCAACACGTGGGGAGAAGCCTCGCATTTCACTTTACCTAGGTACCTAGGCAAACCTTGGGACCCTGGAAAACGACAAGTGACATGGTACATCATAAGATGTATCTTTTGACCACGCTCAACAGCGTCTAAGCAATTAGCCACTCCCCAGATATGACGTAGTGTCCAATCCGTTGGCGTGTGACCTTGGGAGTTGATGGCGGCTGCGGCGGTACATGGTGAGTTGTAGCTGCTAAGTATGTCATCCCCCTAACACCAGTGGACTCCATATCAAACACCCACCTGGTCCCAACAACTCTTGGAAAGCGATAACATATCAACATAAGAGCGGCAGCCGCGGTTCGCTCAGACTTTGTCGCACATACCAGGTGACTAGGATCTTCTAGCAAGTCTCCAAGGCAGAAGACGGCTCCACATGTCTTGTCACCAAGCCCATACAATGATATGGTAGTCTTGCCAGCGGTACATCGACCGCGCCCCTTGATACGTTCGGACTTGACATCCTCAAAGGACCGCACAAGGAAGGTGACGCTCATGTTGAGCGCGAGACTTGTGAGATTGACGGCGTAAGTGAGGTGGATCAGGCATGCGTTGCCTTTGGAGTGAGGCGAGGGCATACGTAATATCGAGCTGTAGTTGGGTGTTCCAATAGTGCTTGAATCAGTGAGTGATACTTTTGAGGATCTCGATGGAAACGATGGTCTGTCATTTGACATAACATCTCCAGAGAGAAAAGAGATCTTACGTATTAGACACACCGGTGGTGAGTGGGCGGTGGACGTATCAGAGCATATGCTTTACATCTTTGACAATCACATACATCTAGGCAACTCATTCACCCTCTTGCGGCTGATAGATTGATTTGCCTTCTATATCCGGCCTTCGTCATACACATGACTCCATATTCCCCGAATGTATTGAGCCGCCTCAAACTGTTTCCTCTCAGCAGCAAGCGGATTCTTCTTATCAGCGAAAGTGGCCACATACGCTGTCCGGCTCATCTCACACATAGCAGCACCGGCGTCAAGACGTCTGGGCCCTAGCGCTTAAAGGAATTCGTCCACAAGCTATTCAAGACCACCGCCCCATGCGGTTATTTCCGGTCTGCCATTGGGCTGCGGAGTACTTCTGAAAATCTCCATCTGTTCTGCAGTATACAGAACGAGTTCATCATCTCCGTATTGACCAATGATCTGCAGTCCTACGGTGTTGAAGAATGAATCCGGAACCGTCGAACTCTGGCTCTTTTCCTTGTAAGGAGTAAATGTGGGAAGAGTGATTGCTGGCAGCCCGGCAAGACTAGCTGGTACGGTGAAGACATCGTTCATGTATGAGTGCACTGGATCCTGATTCTCGACTTCGGCCAAAGACGGTGTCGTTGATAGAGCTGTGGGGCATATGATCACGTCCACTCCTTCTGTTTCTGCCACGGTTTCTTCGGCATCCAGCAACGGGTTTGGACTGGCAAACACCCTGTTGAAATCTTGTTGTACGAGCCTCCGAATCTTTTGTGCTTGTATGAAGTAGTTGTCGATAGCCTGGGCGCTTAGTGAAAAGGCTCCAAGGAGTATACGCCGCTGAACCTCCGGACCGAAACCTTGACCCCGGGTTTTAGCAAAGAGCACACTATCTGGTGTACCATCGATGCCCTCGGCTCTACTTCCGAAACGCACGCCGTCGTACTTTGCGAGGTTGCTCGATGCCTCGGCTGGCGCAAGGACGTAGTAGGCCGATAGTGCTTGTTGTGTTGTGGGTAACCGAATAGGGTGCAAAGTATGACCAGCATTCCACAGATGTCTGAGTTGGTCAATCCATGCCTTTCGGACAGCGGGCTGCAATGTGTTGATGTTGTAATCAAGAGGAATGCCTATCTTCAACGAAGTTGGTCGCTCCCCTGTACGGAATTTTGCTCGGGTTGTGTTAGGAACGGACGTCGGATCCTGCGCATCGTGGATGTTGACCTTGGCTGGACTCAGTCAGAGATGTGGAAATCATAGTCTACATCTCTATAGACTCACAGAATATGCTCTTCACACTCGCCACGTTCTTGCCAAAGATCCCGACAGTATCAAGAGAGTTTGCATAGGCAATTACACCCCATCTCGACAGCAGTCCGTAGCTCGGCTTAAACCCAATGACTCCGGTATATGCAGCAGGAAGCCGTACCGACCCCCCAGTATCGGTACCTAACGCGCTGCTCGTCTCAGCACACATACTCCGTCCTCGTCGGCTGTCAAACACTTACGCCCAACATTGCGACGACGCGACAGCAAGCGCGCTTCCACCTGAGCTTCCACCCGCACTTGCCTCCTCTCCTTTGTATCTCTGCATCTTCACTGGTCCGAAGTGTGAATGTGTCGAGTGCGATCCCATGCCGAATTCGTCCATGTTCGTCTTGCCTACCACCACGGCACCTTCATCTTGGAGCAGCCTCACCACCGTGGCGTCATATGGGCTGCTAAAGTCTTTGAGTATCCCGGAGGAAGCAGTAGTCTTTAGGTTCTTCGTGCAGATGTTGTCCTTTATTGCGATTGGCTTGTCGGCGACGCTGTCGGGTTGGCGGCGGAGGGTACGGGATTTGGAGGCATCGCTGCTTTGGAGGATGGACGCTTCGACGAGGGAATTAAACGCGTTAAAGTGTCTGTACTTCGATTGGTTCGCCAAGTACGTCTTCGCATGCTTGGAGAGGGACATGGAGGGTGGGGCGCATCGCCGGCGCGTTGTCGCGAGTGGGATGTCGGAACTGCACGAGCGGGACAAAAAGAAGTCGCGACGTCATGTGATCGGCCTGACTGCCCAGGTGCCGCTCTCAGCATTGCCCACGATCACAGACACCAACTGACTGCCAATGTATCCCAGCTCACTCATGAGGTAACCCACAGACCAGAACCTCGGAACACGTCAAGAGGACCGCAAAAGACCTCTCTTCGAATTCTTGAATAATTTTGCCATCATCCCAAATGGGGGTTCGTCATCTACCATCGCGACTGTCGTAGCGACGATGCTTGGAATTCATTCATCAATAGTTTGATTGAGTGTGTTAAGAACGAGCTGCGCCGCCCAGGATCGGGCCATCCTATAC